CCAAAGATTAGTTAGATGTTTCATCAGCCATTTCTTTCCTCTGCTGATGAACAGAATCACTTTAGGGAGAACTAGGTATTTAGGTCACTTACGAGTTGAGCCCCCAACAGCAACCACCAAAAAATTAATTTATGCTATCATATTTGAATGCCTACTTATTTTACCAAACTTGTTAATAGCTTAAATAGATTTAAAAAAAACACACAATGACAAACTAAAGCGTCGCTAAGTCTGTCTAATCAATGATACATATAACACAGTGCATTCGAGTGAAATCGCCATAGATCAAGCCCATATCAGTCGGTTCCCATTTAATCCCGGCACATTGTGCAGAACCGCGCTAAACGAACAAATAGGTACGTCGCTCAAGGATCGTCGCTCCACCGACCGACAACATCGCAGAGATCGGCCGCTCTTTTTTACAATCTCAGGTATCACTAGACGCTTTTATCCCGTCCCTCCAGCATTGTATTGAAACCTTGGGGAGTAAGTAATGAAAAAGTACCGTGCGTGCGTGTGTGCGTCTCTAGGTACTCACAACACAATAAAGCAGGTGTTCACTCCGCATACAGAACGAGAAATCTGTTTGGCCGCTTTCGACGACGATTTCCTATGCACACAGCTGCTCCGAATCAACGATTTAGCTTATTGAAACACGCCTAACTTTTTACCGTTACGTGGCTACCTAGAACATAATGCGTTCGGACCTGCGAGTGACCTTGAGCCAGCGTTAACCTTGAATCACGGAGGGGCTAAAAATACCACCGGCCCGTACAATGATGGCCGTTAAACGAGTCCTTTGAAAGGTCCGGAAACGATCCCCTTCTCGTATTATGTATGCCGTGTTACTTACCTATGCGAAACTGTGATCGGGCGGTTTAACGATTTTCCTATATTTCGTATTATGGCGCGCCCCTCCAACCATCCGGGCGGCGGGTGACTACAACAAAGCGGCGAACAAACTCCCAAGTCTAGATTTTTATTATCAATGTTTACAATGAGCGAAATTAGAATATATAATTATTTATGAATGAATTGCGAATGCCGGATACAGTTTGTGACGAGGCAATCATTCCATTTATTTGTTTCTTTGTTGAAACATGTCGGCTCGGCACTAGTAAGATGAAAACAAAGTATCTACCAGCTGCAAACTTTCTTATGCGAGGAATACTTAATTATAAAAACGAACAAAATGGTATCGGTTTTTGATGAACTGTTTCAATCACTGTTTGCAGACAGATATTATCCATATCTCAAATTCCAATGAATGTCTCGTTCAAGTTCAATATGTCCAATTCTTAAGATATGCAAAGATTTCAAAAGAAGTTCTCGTAACGTTTAAATCCGAATGGTTTACGTACTACAATATCGAATTCCCTTAAAGGTGCTATCCGACGTCCTGTGTTGTAGAGGGCGCTGCCGCGGCCGCGCCGCGCAGGGTTGCCAAACGTATGAGAACTCTAACGTTGACATTTAGTAGTCTCTACACATGATACGAGGTAATTCGATATCTCGTACACTTTGAAATGAGATTTGAACAATGTTGAGTGTGTGTCACGTACACAAACCAAAAATATTATCAGAAAGTAAATAAATGTCCAGTACACAAAGGATCGACTCAGTAAGTACAGCTTTATTATGCCATCACAAAGTGTACGAGATTTCTATTTACCTCCTATCATGTATAGAGACTGCTAAATCTCAAACATTATAGTTCTCATACGTTTGGCAGCCCTGCGCGGTGCTTCCGCGGGCCTGCGACAACACAGGCCGTCGGACAGCATCTTAATACTGTTATCTTTAATATATGGATGGCTTCGTATTTGCTATGGTGGCACACATTGCGTGTTCCGTGCGGTCCATCAGCCTTTTTTCTGTAATCTAAATAGTTACATATCTAGTTTCACCATGCATGTGAACACGATTCTTAAAAACAATTTAATTCCCTTAAAAATATTCCTTATTAAATTCCTTGTTCGTCTCGTCGTGATTTTGTTTGGCCTTGGTTTGGTTGAACTCCCAACTTCGATGGGAAGGAAACATAAAATAAAAGTGTGTAACGCGATGCTTTTCTAGTCTTTTTGCATTGCCTCATTCATTGGGACTATGCTATAGGTTCTGCTTAATA